GATGATAATGAGAAAGGGCTGGGCAGTCGGCAGGAAACAGCTGATTTCGATGACTGCGGGATAGCCTCTGTCGCGGAAGTGTCATCCCCAGAAGCATCGGATGTTCCATCCAAGAGTACATCGTCTAGTGACGAAGTCCCGAAATCTAACTTCTTCTTGAAGATGTTATCTAAAAGACGATCTGCAGGAAAAGTTTCGGGGATCAATGGAAACAAAGCAATGGTTTTGAAGGATCAATCCTCACGGCCGATGCCAATTGCAGTGACGGAGCAGTACGAATCAGATACGGTCAAGGCTATGAGCAGACCAGTGGCCACTGGGCAATCAGGTACAGACTCTTCTTCAGTTGTCGATGCATCCTCCAACGAAGACTCTGGTTCCGTGTCATTCCCGGTGGAGCCAAAAGCGGTCCTGGCGTCTGAATCGAGTTTGCTGGAAGCATCAACGGGACCTTCTTCGATTGACATTGATGCAGTGAAAGTATCAGATGCGGGTTATGTTTCTGAATCAAACTCATCTGGAAGTCAGTCTTCTGTACAAGACGGTGGGTCAAGCAATTCCGGGTCATTCAGTATGGCACGCAATATTCAACAGGAAGGCACAACTTTAGATAACGGCCCGTTCATCGAGGAGAAAGACTTAACCAACAGCGGCGGGAGCCCATTTGAAAATCTGTTCCAAACCGGATCTCTACATTCATCGGAATCGGGAGCTGGTACACCAAAACAAGCTGCCTACCCGGAAAAAACTAATGCAGATGGTTGCGAACGAGAAAATGTTATTGCACACGCTCCTATTCACAAGTCTGCACAAGGAGGCTTAGATGCCTTCCAGACAAAAGATGAACGTGAACGCGAACACCTGTCAGTGGAATGCGATGAGTTGAGCGGTACAAATACTCAATCTGAAGCAAAACCTGTAAATGTGATCCCTGACCAATCCGAAAGTGATTTATACCCAGTTATCAGCGATGTGGGCCTGGATATCGCAGCATCTGTGAGACGAATTGACTCCGAAGACGAAGACATGGATACAAATCAAGAAAGTCAGAATAGTGGACATCTTGTGGACAAAGGTGATGGAAGTAGTTCTGAGAGCAGCGATGACGAGTTTGTTGATGCCTTGGATGAGATCACAGACTCAGATGGAACCAAACTTGCTGAATCCTCTTCACCGGTCGAGTCGTCATCTCTGTACACAACCGGGGAGGATTCTGATGACATGCCGTTCGCGGAGAATACCTCTGCGTCTCCTTCAGGCTCTCAAAATGGAAAGATAGGTTCATCCAAACTAGGTTCAAGTTCTAATGAGAGTACTGTGGAGAGACAGTCAAGCGCTAGCGCTGGCGACGGCACTGAATCTACAGAGACAGCTACTGAGGATCCGATGCAAGCAGGTTTGGATTCCGAAGCCGAATCCGGTGGGGTGACTTCCCAGGAATCGTCAGAAGTTTATGAAAACACCACGGGATCGAGCGAAGTGGAAAGCAGTACAGCAGAAGAAGGAGATAACTCAGATGATGCTCTCGAAGAAGGAAATAACTCAGATGATGCTCTCATTCTAGACGTCAACACGACTTATGAAATTCCTGAGCTCTGATGAGACCAACCGCCGGGATATTTTCGCTTTAAGAGAAGGGCGAGTCTTCGTTATAAAGAGTAGTGTAGTTACTGAGCAGTTTGGATTGAACAAATTTTGTGTTTTCCCTGCGGATCGAAAAAGTGCCGTCCAATTTCTTTGAATAGGAATGGGGCTGGCTTTATCTTCAACGTGGCCCACTGGCAATGATTAATGAAACTTCTTAGCATGACGTCTTGTACCGTAAGCATATCACGTGATCCGTCTCGTAGTCGCGGTTGGGTCACCCAGAAGCCCATCGAGGGGGTCCCACGATATAGTGCCATAGCACCACAAACCTCTATATGTGGCACTATTGCAGGGTTGGCACTATACAGAGAGAGCCAAAATACGACCTTTTAAAGACTCAGGACGCACACGCAACTATCTTTAAAGGGCATTTATATGACACATGGGTGTAGTGCACAACGCGAAGATACTTTTATTTCACTTCTTTGAGAAGAAGTCGTTGATCACAGCCTGCTTAACAGCCCCATTTTTATACGCAGCCCTTGCAGCTATCAACGCCTTCTCCGCCTTTCGTAGATGCAAAGAGGCCTCAGTAACGTCGCAATTGTACGCTAAAACCTCTACACTACTGAACATTGCTCAAATTTCTAAAGAGCTTGGGACTGGTTTCACCACTCTTGGCGTCATTGTATCATCTTCTTCATCCTCGCTTGAGGCTCTGAAGACATTCAAGGGCTCGAACCTTTCCTGCGATAAATCTTCAAGGGCATCGTTCACGATTCCCTCGCGGACCCCACTGTGGTCCTCGACGTCAATCCATCCCTCGATAGCTTCTCTTGATCTTCTCGAAAAACGGGGCAT